GAAGAACTTACTCCGTTACTGCAGTAAATTGACAAGATATTTAGTAAGAAACACAAATATTTGACTTCTACAGTTATGAAAATATGCACACGTCCAGTGTAATGGGTATAGTACTTTATTGTACTGGTTAAATCAAGCATTGTAAATGTAAAAACAAAAAAAATTAAAAAATATAGAAATAAATCAACATTGGTATTGATTTCTGACACTTTTTGGCATATATCATTAATTAAAAATTACAGTTATATAGTCAAGTTAAAGTCTCAGATATGTCCTACATAAGTGACTCAATAAAATCTTGTTTTTGGAATTATGTTTCTCTGCTCAGTAATATATGAAAATTTGAGATTATTATACATTGTTGAAAGCAATATATGATTTGTTGGACACGTACACAGATATCAAATCTATATTGGACGTGGCACTAGCTGATACAGCTTTTGTAACTGACTGAATGAGTCCAGTAGAATCAGTATTTTGTTTAACAGTGTATAATAAGCAATTTATTTCACACAACTATTGTTTAACATGACAGAATTTTGTAAGATTGGATCCGAAACGAAAGTTGAAATCATAACTTATTTTCATTCATTCTTTTCTCACAGTTGAATCTCATTGTTTTTATCGTACTAAATCTTACAGACACCACTGTTTTTCACATTAATACACAGTGAACTACTTTTAGATATACATGGCACAATCTCACCTGTTTGAAAGACCGCCAAGGGAAGCAGAAACAAGAGTGTTCTGTTTTTACAGGTTGATAAACCTGACTTTATTTCTTGGTTCTTGGGGAAACAATCAGTGAGCAAGGGCTATTATCTACATAAAGTATATTATATTTTTTGTTGTTCCCTGTACATATGCTATATCTTGCATTTGTAAAAGAAAAATTAAAGTCAAACTGAGATAAAAAAAAAGTGTTATAAGTGCTAACAAATAAAAATTTTTGTACCTCTGATAATTTTCTTTGATTTTGTTTTTGACTCAGAACACTATTGTATGTATTGTACTTTACCATACCATGGTAAAACAATCAAAAGTGATTAAAGTACAGAATTTAGGTATCATGTACAGAATATCTGTCCCTGCATCAGTGTCTACTTAGAAGATCAGATACTATGTTGTTGTTGTTGGTTGTTTTTTTTTAAGAAAGATACCCATTCTTAGCCATATCTTACGTGCCATATCTTACGTGCCATATCTTACGTGCCATATCTTACATGCCATATCTTACGTATGGTAAATTGGATTGTTATAAAACATATTGTTAAGTGGAAATGATGCTCATCATATACTGTTTAAATCTTGCTGTGCATTTTCATGTTGCAGCCCATTGCAGAAAATCTGAAAAGATGCATATTTAAAGAAAAAAATTTGCTATACTAATATACATATATATACGATGCATTTTCAATGTCCATGATTGTTTTACAGTAAAAAATAATGGACATTAAATAACATAACATAAGTTGATTGGGCTTTATATCGTTAATATTATAATTACAAAATGTATTTAAAAAAAAACATTTTTTTTCTATATATATACTACTTATAGCTTCAGATTAATCTTGCAAGTCAATGGGCTGCAACATGAAAATGCACAGCAAGATTTAAACAGTATATGATGAGCATCATTTCCACTTAACAATATGTTTTATAACAATCCAATTTACCATACGTAAGATATGGCACGTAAGATATGGCACGTAAGATATGGCTAAGAATGGGTATCTTTCTTAAAAAAAAACAACCAACAACAACAACATAGTATCTGATCTTCTAAGTAGTCACTGATGCAGGGACAGATATTCTGTACATGATACCTAAATTCTGTACTTTAATCACTTTTGATTGTTTTACCATGGTATGGTAAAGTACAATACATACAATAGTGTTCTGAGTCAAAAACAAAATCAAAGAAAATTATCAGAGGTACAAAATTTTTTATTTGTTAGCACTTATAACACTTTTTTTTTATCTCAGTTTGACTTTAATTTTTCTTTTACAAATGCAAGATATAGCATATGTACAGGGAACAACAAAAAATATAATATACTTTATGTAGATAATAGCCCTTGCTCACTGATTGTTTCCCCAAGAACCAAGAAATAAAGTCAGGTTTATCAACCTGTAAAAACAGAACACTCTTGTTTCTGCTTCCCTTGGCGGTCTTTCAAACAGGTGAGATTGTGCCATGTATATCTAAAAGTAGTTCACTGTGTATTAATGAGAAAAACAGTGGTGTCTGTAAGATTTAGTACGATAAAAACAATGAGATTCAACTGTGAGAAAAGAATGAATGAAAATAAGTTATGATTTCAACTTTCGTTTCGGATCCAATCTTACAAAATTCTGTCATGTTAAACAATAGTTGTGTGAAATAAATTGCTTATTATACACTGTTAAACAAAATACTGATTCTACTGGACTCATTCAGTCAGTTACAAAAGCTGTATCAGCTAGTGCCACGTCCAATATAGATTTGATATCTGTGTACGTGTCCAACAAATCATATATTGCTTTCAACAATGTATAATAATCTCAAATTTTCATATATTACTGAGCAGAGAAACATAATTCCAAAAACAAGATTTTATTGAGTCACTTATGTAGGACATATCTGAGACTTTAACTTGACTATATTACTGTAATTTTTAATTAATGATATATGCCAAAAAGTGTCAGAAATCAATACCAATGTTGATTTATTTCTATATTTTTTAATTTTTTTTGTTTTTACATTTACAATGCTTGATTTAACCAGTACAATAAAGTACTATACCCATTACACTGGACGTGTGCATATTTTCATAACTGTAGAAGTCAAAATATTTGTGTTTCTTACTAAATATCTTGTCAATTTACTGCAGTAACGGAGTAAGTTCTTCTAAATTTAATAGGAGGTTAAATCAGTTATTGCACTAAGGTGACAAAATTTTATTTTGTATGTTAGGTTTGAGAAATCTGCCGATTCAGAATTTTTATTTTTTAAAGAGACTGATTTAGATAATTTCTCCAATGCCAGGCATGACATATTTTATCAATAAGAACATCAAATCTTGAATGTTTTTGTTGATACTTGAATATATTTCACATCTGGCATATATCTATGAAACAATAAACTCAAACCCAGATCAAATAAATGTTATATGCACTGATAAATACTATTGTTCTTACATCATGTATTTTCCTTCGATTTTGTTTTGACTGAAAACACGTATACTGTAAAAGTGTTTAAGTTAGTGGCATGAAAATATTGACGATTTTCACAAGTTGACAAAAATCACTAAAATTTCTCTAGCTTAGATTTTAACCAACCTGTTTTCAGTTTTAACTCTACTCTAAGATTGGTGATTTACTTATGTTTCCTATTGCGAAATTTTATGAATTCCAAATTTGCCATTTTTTTCGACACGCAGAAATATCCACTTATACGGTATATTTGGTGTACAATCCCATACCGTGATATGTCCATTAACATTACATTTCATCTCTGATTACCACAATTGACACAATCATTACTGACTTGGTAATATGATGACGATATTACCATACAAATGATAATTACCTTTTATAATACATTGACATTTGTTGCAACAACAAATGTCAATGTATATTATTATTATTTCCCATTATTATCACTGTCTTGTAAATCATGCTGTGAAATTAACAAGTCAATGGTAATAGCAAGCAGAACAATGCCCCCTTCAAGAGTACCATACAGTGCATGTCAATATATCAATTCATAATCATACTTCATGGATACGTTAAAGAATTCTTATTCAGTCATGAAAATTATTTAAAAAAATGTTAAAGATCTGATCTCACTTATAAAACTCTACATCTACGCATTTGTGGCTTTTATAAAATAAAAAAAAAACAAGAGAGCCATTACAGGCCTAATATCGCTCACCTGATTAAAAATGTTCTATATGACAAAGAATAAATTATAAGGAGTTAATAATAATACTATAATATAAAAGGCAGATATAAGGTCTAAATCTCAATCTGATATTACCATGTTTATATCTGAATCTAAAAAAGTTAACAAGCCAAAGAAAAAGCACTAACTACTCAATAGCTGCGGTGGAAGTCAGTGGTTGTAATAAGAAGTTAATAACTGATTCACTTGTTGCTATGGAAAATTAATGGTTGCTAAGGAAGTCACTGACTGCTATGTAAAGTCAATAGTTGCTATGAAAGTAACTGATTATTATGTTCAGTTCATGGTTACTATTAAAAGTCTTCGGTTGCTAAAGAAAGGTTGCTTTGGAAGTCAGTAGTTGCTTTGGGAAGTCACTAGTTGATATGAACTGTCAATGATTGCTACTGAACTATTTTGGCATGCAGCTTCATACCCTGAGCAGTGTTAATTTTAACCCAATAGCTTCATTTAGAACAAACATAAAAGAGATTGACTAGATGATGTTTCAGCCAAAAAAAGCTCTAGTTTTTGCAGGTTCATGGAATATGTTTCTTAAAGTTTTACTATAAAAGATGTAAGGAAATTCCAAGACTCCCCAAATCTCCAGGAATACTCCTAAAAAATATTATTTTCTGTTAAAAATTTAACTTAAATTTCATATTTGACATAACCAGCCATGGTCATAATTATTTCAAGGTCAAAGTTAACATTTAAAATAATAATCATGTTAGTTAAGTTGAAAGTGTTCTTTTGTTTAAGGAATGAATCAAATTCATAAATAAAGTTATTACAATCGACGCATATGTTACATTTGAAGTAATCAACATACAGCTTTTGTCAAAAGAGTTTTCTTTATCCAATCATAAATCAAAGCTTTTAAAAAAATCAACAAGTTTTGACTGTTTAAATTCCACATTTGACTAATGATTATGGTCATGTATAGGTCAAGGTCAATTTTGTGATCAGGTAAGCTAAATACACAAACATATATACTATAAAAAATCAAATCTACATACCAAAATAATAGCACCCGTGTCATGAACACCAAAACTAAAATACAGAGAACACTTACCTCTGGTACCCATACGTCAAACACATAGTTGACATCATCTAAATGTATGTTCTTATTTATCTGTTTAATCCATGTCAAGTATGTGCTCAGTAGAAACTCTATCTACAAAGAAGGATATGGTATGAAAATACATGTATTTCATTGCCAGTACAAACCATTCACCATTAATACAAATTTTATTGCAATTATAAACCATTCAAATTGTCATTAATAGAATATTTATTGCCATTTTAAACTATTCAAATTGCTATAATAAAGCATTCATATTACCATTAATACAATATTTATAGCCATTATAAAACATTCAAATTGCCATTTATACAATATTATATTTATTGCAATAAAATACCACTAATCTATATTGCCATTAAACACTATTCATATATTTCCAATAAATATAATTTTCATCACCTTACTGTATTCTTTATCAATAAAGAACATTTTGAAATGATATACCACTTTTATAACTATATACCAATTATTTGTCATAAAATACCATATATCTGTACACATATTGCCATAGAACGCTTTTTTCATCTTTATAATGTACCATTTATAATATTGCCATCATATACCATATAATATCATTCATTATGCCATGAAGCTATCAAAGTACCAGAGTTTTACAAGACGTAAAAACCCATATTATACATGCACAAAATGACTCAAGTGATCCCTTCAAAATGAAAGAAAATAAAAGAAAATAATTTCAATTTAAAAAAGAAGGCAATAATGAACATATTTTGGACAGTTTAAGAGTCAAAACAGAACAAATATATTTTCTCCTTTTTTTTTTGGTTGGGTTTTACGTCGCACCAAAACAGTAGGTCATAAAGCGACTTTGGAGCTTAACTATTTGAGGAAGACCACGGGTGCCAATCCGTGCATTATTTCAGACAAGAAAGGGGCACCCAAGTAGAACCACCAACATTCTGTTAGCTTGCTTTATAGTTTTCTCCTATGAGAAAATCCAAATTCCAATGTCCCATGCAGAGTTCAATAAGCATGTGATTGAAATTTTTAAGTCAATGACCTTAGAACCACTTGTCTACTGATGCCCCACAAAGCTATTGCTCAAAGCAAGGATATACATATTATTACATAAATCGGAATATTCAATGCCATTCAGAATATTCAGCAACAATTACGACTGAAATAATGCAAGAGCCCATATCTTTCTACATCATTTGTCATCAGTTAATATTTACCTGTTCATCATCGTCAATCAGACCAAATCCGCGATGTTTCATTTTAGCTCGTTCTCTAATGGTACCGGTTAAAAACTTATCATGCAGTTCACTTTTAGTTGTACCGTTAAAAATCTTCTGAAAAAAAATAAAACAAATACACACGTTTCAACACTTTGCCTTTACAGGTGCTGCTAGTGTAGATCAAACTCAGCGCGAACATCTATGCCGTCTGATCGTGTTCTGCACCATTTGCTATTCAGTCAGTACTTATTTTAAAAATTTCCCTAAAAATGATGGATGGTTTTGGTCTACACATGTAGATGGACAAGACCATTTCAGAAATGTGGTGTAATAATTAGGTTTTAACAAAGAGTACCAAATTAAAATGGATCAGGCACATATTGTCTTCCAAACTGGATTTAAGTTGCTAGATCTAGAGACAACGATTCAACTGAAACCTTTATCTTATCGCCATTGATTCTACTGGACAGACCCCAACCCTAGGTCCATTAGAATTTTTAGAAAAATTGTCCTTTATCAAAACATCATTTAACCATCTTATACTGTGAATAGAATCCTAGCAAGATGCCCTACTGACAGCTCTTGTTTTAAATCCTTTTTTTTTTTTTTTTTGCATGTTTGAATTTTTTTTCTGATTAACACACAGAAATAAAGGTTTTTTGTTTGTTTGTTTGTTTTTAAAAAGCAACATTTCTGAAAACATAAGCTTGTTTGGTCTTGAACAGTGACCAGTAAACCCATTCCCTTCAGTAATTTTGGAGAAACAAGCTTTTTCAAACACTTAACCAGTGTTACGCTGACGCTACGGTGAGTAAAATAGCTCTCTCTTCAAATAGTCGAGCTAAATATTGGAGTAGCCACAGCCCTTTCAGGTAAGAAAATCATTCATGACTCAAGAATAACATAACAGAAGATGTCCAATAATGCACAACTCCAAGTAATTTCAACCCAAAGAAAATTTGATTTTGTAGTATACCTTAGTAGTATCAGATATAAGGAAATCAATCATTGGTCTGGTTTTTAATTTCCTCTTCTCTACCCTGTAAATATATCAATATTTCATTAAACATAATACTTTCCAATGAGTTTTAAGTTTAAAGGAATTCCACTGGGGTAGACAAGCCTAAAAATATTAAATCTGAAATTCTTACATACATCTTGGGCACTTAAACAGGAAGATATCCAAAAGATATATAAAATACAGTCTCATGATTTAATAGAAAATCATAAATTTGGGCTTTTCTTAGCTTTTCAATTTCGGGTCATATTCTCAAATAGAATAAATTAATGATTCTGGAAATACGGAGTTAACAAATGATCTGAAATTATGCACACAAGTTACTGATGAAGACCTACATCAAAGAGAACACTGATCTTGAAAAAATAATTTCAAGTCCCATCATGTCAAAAAACTTCAGTGGAGTCCCTTTAATAATATGTTCAAAGATATTTTCTATTAATACTGTGCAGCACTAGTATCAAGAATTTCTCAGGCCAATTTTTAGTTTGTGAAAATTTCAGATTAATTTAACAAAATGTTGCAGCAAGGCTGAAATGTTTTTTTTAATTTGACTGGTAATGTAACCACTGCTGACCATCAGGGTTTCAAATCAATTATATTTATCATTGTAAAAGTTAGATAATGCGTTTTCTTCCAGATTCGGGGGTGTGTCTTTAAGCTTTTAAACTTTCCCATGCAAACATTTAATTTTTTTTCTAAACAATTTTTCTTTGGGTTTTCCCCTTTTTTTTTAAAAGAAAACAAAATTTTATTTAAGATCAAGTCAATGAAAAAAAAATTCATTTTCATAAAAAGGATCAATCTTTGGGAAAATCAGCTTCCCATTTAAAAAACCCAACCCCCTTTTTTTAAGGGGGATGGGAACATAAATTTTCCTAGCATTTGTAAAATTTGTTTTACAACAAAAATTGCTTTCAGGGGTCGTTTCAAACAGATGGGTTTGAGATGAAATTTTTAAAATTCATGCTTTTTACAAAATCAACTAAAATAAAATTATGTGCATAAAATTTTAACAATGCTTCATTCAACATTATTAGGAACGATACTTGAGCGGTGAAATCACAGGGCTTTTTTTACAGGTGGGGAAGCAGCCCTGCCCTTAATTTTTGGGGAACATTACACAGTAAATTAGCAAGAGGTCAGACCTCGGAGGAATATGTCCCTCAGCTTCGCTTCAGGCCATATACCTTCCTCAGTCTGACCAATCAGTCCGTAAACTTGCATATTGCCCTCAAGGCCATGTTTTATTTGTTAAATATTGAATGCAACTTTATAAATTCCGTCGATATCAACTAGTACAATTTCTTACATAATTCATTTAATCTTTTAAACTTGGCGATTAAAACTGCATTTGGACATGTTAATAAACTACACTTTTTTCAATCTATTACTTTGTTTTTCACGTCACTAATTTGTTTTTCAGTGCAAACTCTGTTGAGCAATTAACCTTTTTATCAGTAATCATGTCTTCCGAAAGAAAGACTTCAAAGCAAATTTTACTTCTGATGAGCCACTACTCTCAATAACAACAAAACGTTTTTTTTTTGTTTCCAAGATGGTTGCTATGGAGAGGCTTGTATGGTTGCTTTAAAAACAGTCTTTTTAGCATAATAAAATACTCGCATGAGGGAAAATAACTTTGCAATATAAATTCAAGCGGTACAATACATTCATTATAATTATTATCCTCATGGAATATTCACTGTCAATATATAACGATTCACCCACTGATGATTCGCCCCATAACGACTCGCCCACTTTGGTGACGATTCACCCAATTTTAATGACAATTCGCTCAACTTTAGTGACGATTCACCTCACCTAATATTAAACTCTTTTTTTTTTAATTAATTTTGATTTATAAAAATCAATTTCATTTCGAAAGGAGCATGCAAATACTTAATCGCTGACATACCTTTATATTAACGATGTTCTCACCAGCTCGTATATAGGAGGCTGCAGAGTATAAAAAGACACCTAATATACGATCCCAGTTGCCCTTTACACATGTTGATGCTGACTTTGCTATTTCTTTTTCGATATGTACAGAAATAACCATTCAAGTACACAACGTCGAAACGAAGTTACTTACGAACTATGCGCGAGGAGGGAAAAAGCTTATATAAAGCCGATCCCCTCCATGCTCTTTGTCCAAAAAATTATGGGGACGCAACCCTGGGTTATGAAACAGCATGCACTATCATGATCAGATATTTGTCTCAGCTGTATCTTCCTGTGTAAGACAATATTTTTAAAAAATCTTCGATTCATTTCTGGTAGTTTCTAATAAGCAAAGCAACATATAGATGATTAAACATATTAAAGGATTTTCCACGGAGGACCAAACGCCTAGCTATAAAATAAAAATTTGAATTTCTTACAGAGATCAGCTGGGGCACTAAAAACAGAAAGATGTACAAAAGATATTAAGATATATACTCAAAACTAAATTGAAATAAATTGTATTTTTTTTGTTTTGAATTGTGCAACACCTTTCCATTTTGGTCATGTCTTATAATTAGAATATTTATTTGGAAAAATAGCGTGGGCAAATGATCTAAAATGTTGGACAACAAGCTTTTTGTCTAGACCTACATCAAACGGAACATAAATCTCGAAAAAATATTTTCAGTCCCGACATGTCAAAAAAACAAACTCATTGGAGTCCCTTTAATAGACAACAACTACAAGTTCACACTGTTGCTATATAACTTTGAAAATATCAAATTTAAAAATATTATCTTCTGCTCATGTTTTTTTTTATTTATGCTGCTAGTTTACGTTCCATGCTAGCAACATATTTGTTACTAAATAGATACTCATTTGTTTCGATATAAAAAATAACCATAAATATTTAAAATGAAAACAGTGTGGTGATGAAAATTCAATATTTGAAACTTTAAAGGGGCTCCACTGAGGGTTTTTGTCACAACGGAGCTTTTGTAAAATTTGATGGAAGTCTGAACAAATGTTTTTATGTGAAATTCTAAACCATTCCCTTACCAAAATAATCATTTTAATTGTGCGCTCATCACTCAAATTGGGTTAAGAATCACAAAAAACAATAAATTTTAATTCTGAGGAGTACATTTCTTTATTTTCCTTTGCAGATTTTTCCCTATTTTAAGTGCTATCTGTGATGACTTTATAGGTTTCTAGTCACCGATGCTTAATTATAATAAATATGTGTTTCAGCAGCATGTTGTTTACTCTGATATTCTTCTAGATCTGTCCCTTTGAACCTTAATTAATTATCTATATATGATATTCTATATTCATCAACACGGTCCCAGAACTCTTAATTTAATGGGTAGCTATTTAGACAAATCAAAAGAAAAGCAAAAAAAATTGAAGTTGTTGAGTGAATGATAATACTACTTTTATTAAAAATAAAATCTTTATGAAATAAGAAAATAAAAGAAAATTTATGTTCTCTGTCTCACTAATATGGATAAAAGAAAAGGTAAGGAAGGGAATGTAACGAAATGACATGAAAGAAAAGAAATGAAAGAGAAAGGAAAGGAGAGGAAAGAAACGAAAAGAAACGAAAGAAAAGAAAAGAAAAAAAGGAAAGGAAGTAAGGAAAGAAAGGACAATTAAATTAAAATGTCAAAAAAATCATTGACACGTGCTTAAAACTTTAGATCATACGTCAAGGGTCAGTTAGCAAGATACAGTTGGAAAATATATGTTTTAACACTATAAAACAGTGTTGTGTGAAGGTGAATAATCATTCAGAGTTGTGGCAAACAAATTTTCTTTGGTTATCTCCCTTGAAATGTACTAACCATAATAATATTTCTAATTTTCTCACGACACAAACAATATTTTTTCTTTTCCGACAATTTAAGTTTCATTAGAAGTAACAAAAAAGAAATCAATACCCATGAAGCGTACCGAGATTTTGATCAATATTATATTGAGTTTGTTCTAATTTATTTTAGTTTGATTTTTTATTTTCTAATTATTAAATGGTCAGCACACATATTGTTTACTCTGATTTACTTCTGTCGCTTTGAATCTTAGTAGGTTATTTATATTATACTATATTCTATATTCATCAGCACGGTCCCAGTACTCTTAATGAAATGGGTAGCTAATTGGTTATACCAAAAAGAAAAGCAAAAAATACGAAGTGGCTTGGTGAATGATAATATTGTTTTATTAAAGATAACATCTTCATGAAACAACAGAATAAAAGAAAATTAATGTTCTCTGCTTCACTTATATGGAAAAAAGGAAACGAGAGGAAGAAAATGAAAATGAAAGGAAACGAAAGAAAGGAAATAAAAGGAAAAGAAAGAAGAAGAAAGAAACAAAAAGAAAGGAATGAAAAGAAAAGAAAAAGAAAGGAAAATAAAGGAAAAGTAAAGAAAGAAAATGTAAGGAAAAGAAATTTAAAATATATAAATTGTCATGACACATGGCTTAAAAGCATTAGGACAAGAGAAACAGTCGGAAAATATAAAAATTGGGGACATTGTTGAGTAAAGATGAATAAATCATTCAGGGTTTGGGCAAGAAATTGTTCTATGGTTATCTTCCTTGAAACATATTATAATAATATTTCTACTTTACTCACGACACAAACGATTTCTATTCTTTCCAACAATTTCATTGTCATAAGAAGTAATAAAAAGAAATCAATACAAATGCTGCGTACCGAGATTTTAATCAATATATATTTAGTTTGTACTTATCAATTTAAGTTCGATTGTGTTGCTGTAAGTTTCTTAAAATACTCAAATCCGTTCCAGTTATCAATGAGTCCTATGTTTCTTGCTCACGGAAACAATAGCTTGCCCCTAACTTGGTTTGAACCCACGCGGCCAGAAATCCTTAGATAACTAGTCCGACGTGTTAATCACTCGGCCCCGCCTCTCAATAATCAATAATTTAATTAAACAACTAAAGTTCAACCTCTACAAAGCATCAACCTTTGGGTTCTAGAAAGGTTTGACTTCTCTCGTTCTGGAATGGTTTGACTTCTTCAGAAGCCTTGATTATTGGGAATAATTC